CTAGTTTGATAGTTTCTTTCATCAAGTATGAAAACGTACTTCAAGCCCACGACAGTTATTCCACCCCACACCGATGACTAACGTTTTAGGCTGTTCTCTTATCATTATTCAAAAAGTAACTTTCCGTCCATTTCGCTTTGGCCAGTCAAAATCGCATACTTTTGCTCCTAAATAAGAAAAAAAATGCAAAAATATGATTTCAACGACATACACACGGAGAGACGATGTTGAAGAAATACAGCACGGTACGGCAAAATTGCGTAACATCGTAACGTAAAGTAAGAAATACACGGCATATTAGGAATTTTAGCACCGCAAACACGTCATGAGACGTTCTCATGAAGCGCCAGTGCACGGCGACTGGCACCGGGGTATTTTCTTACCTTCCGGGGTAAAATATTGATGAATGCGATTTTCACCTTAGGGTTGAAAATACCTCGGGTATGTTACCTTCAGGGGCAAACTACACCTCATTTTCAATGATGAATCCGGCCCCTGGAGGGTAGTTGGACATGAATGGACAGTCTCTAGTATCACTTCCACAAAAAAACTTCGACTCCACTATGTTCATATGTAATTGCTGCTGCTCCTATGTCTAAAGGACAGCAATTTTGTTGATTTCTTTTTTGCGAGTCCGAGGGCAAGCACTCAGGAAAGTTTTGGCGGAGGATCTAAAAACGGCTACACGTGGAAATCCACGTTTACCACGTTCCAAAATCTTGAGTCTAAATCCACCTGTTGTCACTTTCCGAGGAAAAATCATTTGCTTTGTTTGAATTCTTTGTAAACTTCTTTTTCATTCCAAAAAAAGTTTGCGCTTAAACTCTATTTTTGTTACATCGCGTGTCGTAGAATCTAGGAACTGTTGTTGTCTGTTGATACCCTAGTTGCACCCCGCAACAAACTGGCCATATATTAAAAACTCACATCCACAGCAATCCATTCGGGTATTCCATACTTTGACTTGTTGGACACTTTGAGCACCGATTGATTATTATGAAAATATATTTTCTTCTCGATGAAGCACGCGCTTGTAACAAAATACTGTGCTGTAAAATGGTATAACTCAAGTAAAAAACATATAAGACTTTTATTCTTATTTAAAAAATTGCGACGACCATTTGTGCATGCACTATTTGTATGTTGAGCCCTTCCAAGTGGTATGACCCAAAGTGCGATGGGAATGGAAATTTACTTTGCCGTCACTACATAGCGAAATTCGTTGATGAAGTCTCTTCTCTCAAAATCTAGAAGTTTGAGCCAAAGGGTCTCAGCTTTTTCTTTGCTGTTAAAGAATGCTCAAATATACGTTCTAAATATTTGCTTGTAAGAGCGTGCTAAATACTTGCTCAAGCCCGGTATTTAGTAGTAATTATGGTGATAAGCGGCAAATTTTTGGGAATTTATTTCACGTTCAGCTAGAACCGGGAATTTAAAATTATTACTATGTTGGAAATTAAAATTATTACTAGGTTGTAAACATAATGGAAGCTTGGCTTCCATTATGTTTACAACCTAGTAATATGTATTCTACTGGACTTTATTAGCGACAGCTCCATTTGACAGCCGTGGTGGGCGCATGTGCACCTAACTTCTGCAAAGCTTACTGTGCTTTCAACCTAACATCG